GGATGTGTGGGGGCAGCCCCGAGCTGTGCCTTGTGGTCTCACAGGTCCCCCACCTGGCACCTTTGGCCCTGGGTGCTGCCCCAGCCCCCTGTCACCTCCTCCCACCCCTGTCACCTACTGGTTGTTCCCCCCCCACACCAAGCTCACATCTTGCCTCTTGGCCTTTGCACGGGCTGTTCTGTTGCTAGGAACGCCCTCCCCAGATCCACCTCCCAGTCCCCTAGTCCTGCTCTGGCCGTGTTTACTTCTTTATGGCTCTGATCTCTGTGTTTGTGACTGCCAGGTGTCTACTGTGGCTCCTCCATCAGACTGGCTGCACCCAAGGGTGGGCACCCTTTTCTCCTCACTGGATTTCACAGATAAGGAAACAGAGGCCCCCAAAGGGGCAGCCACTGCCAGAGGTACCCAGGGACGGCAGAGTCACCACTCGAACCCAGGTCTGACAGCAGCCCACTGGCACCTCTCCACACCCTTCTCTCTTGCACCCAACCTATCTCCCCCAGCCAGGTGCCAATGGCTTATCAGAGGCTGCCAGGGCCTGGGCTGTCTGCTGGGCCCAGATTAGCCCTGCAGGGGCCAGGGTTTCCCTCTCCACCCACTTCAGGGCCCAGCATCTGTCTAGTGCCTGCTGCCCCCTGCCTGACCCCAGCACCCTGAGCCCAAGGCCTGGAGGGATCGTTCTGATTCTACTTGTGTCCAGACCTTCCCTTCCCGCCCACCCCAAATGGGCCACTTTAACCCCACAATTACACCACACCTTCCCCAACTCACCCCCGCCCCACGAAGTGTCCTCCCCCAAGTCTGGGTTCTTCATGGTGGCCAGTGGGTCCCCAAGTGTGAGCCCTGGCTCACCACTCCTCACTTTGTAGCCCAGGCAGCTGGCTTCCCTATCTCACCCTGGTCAGGTTCTGGTAGAGTCAGTGTGATCATTTACCACACATTCCCTGAATACAGCAGGTGCTCAATACATGTCCAATCAAGACCGAATAGCCCTCCTCACCCGTGTCAACTCCCTTATTGGACTGTGCTTCCTTGGCACCTGGCCCTCAGTGGGTGCTCCAGCAAAGCCAGCTGGTCAGAGGGAAGGATGCCTGACTCTCCAATGCCGCCTGTGGGGGCGGGGCCACATCCTCTGCAGGCCCCTCTACCAGTGCGGGGGTGGGGGGGGATTGGTGCAGCTGTCCTCAGGCTGGGGCTCAGGAGGCTACCAGGCTAGGAAGATGGTGGAGATCAGCTCACCTTAACCCCCACATCCATTCTGGGACCCCAGACCAGGTGTCCACCTCCCACATTGTGACTACGAGTGTCCCCCAGCTACACAGGACAGGCGGCCACTGGGTGGGTCCTGCTTTATTAAGAACTGGCAAGGACCCCTCTCCCTGCTGTTCTGAGCCCACCGGGGGCCTGGGGAGAGTTAGGGGGCCAGGGAACCAGAGGAAGCCCTGGGCTCCCCAAGCTCCAATCAGGGAGAAAGCAGGCAGCAGCCACCCCTGTCCAGACAGTCTGGGTGGGACGGGCCCCTGGCCACTCAGCCCAATTCAGCTCTGGCTCCTTAGACTCCAAGAGGCGCAACTAGACCGGCCTTCCTGGATGGTGTGGAGGTGGCGGCCACACAATGGCCAAGATTGTGGGGTCCGGTGGTGGGCATGGCCATCACCCGCAGTCTGAAGGGGCCACGGGTGGCCACCGGCAGGGGGAGCTCTGGGCTGCCTGGTCTGGGGCGCCAGGCTGGGGAGGCAGGGGCGGGGGAAGTGGGTGTATGGCTTGGGTGATGAGGCTAGGCAAGGCCTGCAGGGAGGTGCCCAGCGCATCCAGGCGGCTTTCGAGGGCAGCCAGGCGGGCCTCAAGGTCCTCGTGCTGGGCGTGCAGCTCGGACATGAGGTCGTACATAGCATTCTGCGTCTGTGAGAGACAGAGGTGGGAGAGAAGAGGCTGAGTGAGACAGGGAGTGACAGACACACACACAGACAGTTGCAACTGTAAGGACACCCCCAGGTGCCCTGCAGGTCTCCTGCTAGATCCCAGGAAACGGTGGGAGAATAGGTGCAGGACAGACAAGTTAAGTGACAAGCTGGGGCCAGCAGGCCTGGGAAAGGCCAAGGGCTGTCCTGGGGAGGGTGGATGTGACCAGAGCTGCCCTGGGGGATGAACTGCCACATAACAGACATTAGACGAGGGGTTGCACAGGGGTCTGGAGGGAGGTGGGTATCCAGCGGGTCTGACCCAATCCCAGACCCAGGAACACGACAGCCATAATCGCTGTTTGATGGGCGACAGGTGTCCCCACCACCTTTACTACTCCCCACCGGGCAGCCAGCACGGGCCAGCGCTACTGTTCAGAAGGATCCACTCCCGCCACCAGGTGGCGCCACAACATCGCCCTGCGTCTCTCACCCCAGCTCCCAGTGACTGGAACCGGAGTCCCCCGTCCCTCCTAGGCTTTGGAGGGGAGGTCGGGCTGAGGGGGGAAAGCACCCCCAACCCCTCGCTCCGCGGGAGAGAAATAGGATGAGGCGCCGATTGCACACCTGCAGACTCTCCCAGCCTCTCCACACCTTTGCCCTCCTCCGTGCCCTCCACCCTTTCTTCTGTTCCCAGCAGGCTGACCCCCTGGGGGAGGACCAACCCCTCGGAGCCCCTCCTAGGGCCCCTGACCTTCACCCCAGTCTGCCTCAGGAACCACAGTCCCCAGGGTCAGACGGTAATATCTAGAGGCATCCAACACTGGGGTGGTTCATTTTGGCCCTCTCTGAGATTTAAAAAAAATTGTTTTAAATTTAGGATATACAGGATGTCCCCAAAAATGTATACACACTTTGAACTCACATTGAGGTTTCTCTTTCTCTCTCTCTCAAATCAATGAAAAAATATCCCCAGTGAGGATTAAAAAAAATAAGTTTTATTCAATGCCGGCTGGGGCTTCCCTTTGCATCTGCCTTGGCCTGGTGCTGCCCACTCACTCACCTGCTTCACCACCTGCCATGGTCCTGCTCTTATCAGGGCCCATCAGGGCCGGCAACACCTGCACTGCTGCCCACACCTGCACTGCCGCCCACTGCCAGCGCCACGGTGCTGATACCCCCATGTTCCTCACCGCCCCCTGGTGGTCAGCACCTGTCTAACTCTGTCGGTCAAACTCCCACTCGTGGGGACAATTTGCATATTAGCCTTTTATTATATAGGATGTGCAAATATACATATATACAGGATGTCCCCAAAAATGTATACACACTTTGAATAATTAATTCCAATGGGTTAAATCTGAAAAGAAGCACCATTGAGCTATTAGCTGTAAAGTGTGTATACATTTTTATGGGCCACCCTATATATTTTATTTTTTGCCAGAGAAATACCAATTAAATTAGCAACCTTGGAAAGGAAAGCAGAAAAATTTGATTGGAAAACATTTTAACCTTGTTTAATTAAAAAAAATTAGAAACCCATATAATCCAATCTAATTAAAGACTGAATTCAAAGAAGCTTTTGTACAATGTATTTTGAGAGTATACCACCATGATTACAAGATTTATATAATTTAAAAATTAAACTTTCAATGATTTGTGCTAAAGAAGTGTAATATGGATAACTCAAATTATAATTCCCAGTATCTGAGTTTTTCCAAGGCATTTCATATTTATAGCTATAATCTCATATGACATCAAATTAGTTGGCCAATGATTTTTATATTCTCTTGGGGTTATGTTCTAGTTTCTACTAGCAATTGATTTATTTATTTTTAAAACATGTTTTTATTGATCTCAGAGTGAGGAAGGGAGAGGGAGAGAGAGGCAGAAACACCAATGATGAGAATCATCGATCTGCTGCCTCCTGCACATCCCCTGCTGGGGATCAAACTTGCCACCGGTCATGTGCCTGATGGGAATGCAACCGTGACCTCCTGCTCATAGGTCGACACTCAACCACTCGCTGAGCCACGCCAGCCGGGCTGAGTTATTTCTTCAGGATTCTAGAATTTTTTTCCTCTGTAATGTTCCCTTCCAAGTTAATTTTATGTAGGCTAATATTAAATTACTTTGCAATCTCTTGAAATGAGGAAGAGAGCGAGTCCACAATGAGCTGGGTATAAGAAGTGAAATAGAACAGCAAAAGTACCACATCATCAATTTTGCCCATATATACTATTTTCTTATATATTAATTTAAAAAAATAACACTAGCCCGGCCAGCTTGGCTCAACCAACAAATAGATCCATTTATGACACAAACTGATCTTACTGAGCTTGTGGAATCAACTTTAATTTCCTAAAAGGCGTTGAGCTTCCTGTTGGTGCTATTATTTGAATTTATAGCCACAGCAAAAGTACCACATCATCAATTTTGCCCAAATATACTATTTTCTTATATATTAATTAAAAAAAATAACACTAGCCCGGAGTGCTTGGCTCAGTGGTTGAGCATCAACCTATGAACCAGGAGGTCACAGTTCGATTCCCAGTCAGGGCACATGCCCAGGTTGCGGGCTCGATCCCAGTAGGGGGCATGCAGGAGGCAGCCGATCCATGATTCTCTCTCATCATTGATGTTTCTATCTCTCCCTCTCCCTTCCTTTCTGAAATCAATAAAAGTATATTTTTAAAAAAATGAAACTACTGCCGATGTTAAAAGTAGCTTTTACAGACGTAGATTCCCAGAGTTCCTCTCACAGTCAGAGCCTCTGGTCACGATGGACCCTTGCAGACAGGGCTGGTGTTCCCTGGTGGCTCTTGCCACCCTGCATCCCTTGCCGGTGTCACCTGCCTGCCCTGAGAACCCCGGTGCTGTCCCTCCCTCGGCAGGAGCTGTGCCCTGTCCTTTACGGAAATGCCCCCTTTTCTCCCCAGAGACCCAACCAGCCCAGACCGGCCCAGGAGCCATCCCACCTGGCCCCACCTTGCTCACCTTGGCCAGCTCTGCGAGTGTGTTGGCCTGGTCGTTCAGCTTTCCCTGCTCGATCTTCACACTCCGGAGCCTAGGGACAGGTGGGTGGGTGGGGTTGTGTGGAGGATGCATTTGTTGGGGGGACGGGGGAGCCCTTCATGCACTTGCCCCACCCAGGGTGGCCCTGTGGGACATGCAGTGGGGAGATAAGGTGGGGGTTGGGGTCTGGCCCCCTGCAGCCCACTCCCTCCCCACATGTAGGGGGCAGCAGGGCCTGGGAGGCAGCTCAGCCACCACCCAAGTGACCACTGTCTGGCTATGTCCACAGGGCCCGAGGCAGGATGTCTCGGTAAAGCCTGCACTGGTCTGCAGGGTGGACACAAGCCCTGGCCGCCTCCAGGAGCTGCCCCGGGGATGCACCCTGACCCATGACCACCATGCACCCCTGACCCTCAGGGAGAGACTTACTTCTGAGCTCTGGCAGGACCCGGTGGAGCAGAGAGAAATCACAGGGCAATTTTAATCTCAGCACTTGCTGGGCAGCTCATGCCCAATGCTGCCATCCTCCCACATGCTGACCCCTGGACCCGAGGGGCTGTTGCCCTTGCTCTGCAGAGGGGCTCAGCTTCTGAGAGGGCAGTGCCAGCCCCCCAGAGATGCATCTGTCCTCTGCCTCCTCCCTCGAGCAGTATCCACCCAGCCTGGCCAGGACAAATGCAGCTGCCCTCGCTCTGCAACTCTGCCGTCTGCCAACCGGTGCCAGGCACCTGGCCCTAGAGGTGACTTTTAGTCCAGGAAACTATACCCATGATGTTTCCTAAGGGGGAAACTGAGGCTCATGGCGGCAAAGCCAATGGCTGGTAACACCCTGGCAGGATCTGGTCAGGGTGACTTTTAGTCCAGGAAACTATACCCATGATCATAGTGGCAAAGCTAATGGCTGGTAACACCCTGGCAGGATCTGGTCAGCCTCTATGCCCTTGGCCTCCAATAGCTGCCCGAGGCGTGGGGCATGGGCCTGTGTGTCTTCGCCCTTCCTCTCCATGCCTCTGTAGTTAAACTGGCCAGGAAAATGGTTCCAGGTAAGACTCTCTTCTTCACTGGTTCAAACTCAGCCCGTGTGCCCACATGCGATGGATGCAGGGGGAGGCCCCTCAGGGCCCACCATGCTGAATACTGCTGGGCCCCCCAGACCCAGCCCTCAGCCTGGAGAAACGGAGGTGAATACAGACGGCTCCAGACCCAGAAGGCTGCTGAGGAGCCCTGAGGTGCCTTCCCTGGGGAGTCATTCTTGGCTTCTCTATAACCTTTCTGTCATCTGGGTTGAATGGTGTTCCCCACACAAGATATATTGAAGTCCTAACCCTAGGACCTCAGTAAGTGACCTGGTTTCACCGGGTGAAGATAAGTCACGGGGGAACCCTAACCCAGTGATTGGTGTCTTTATACAAAAGGCGGAGTCTGTGCACAGACACGCACAGATGGAGGACGATATGAAGACGCAGGAAGAACAGCTCATGACAATGACCATTGGAGCGATGCATCTGTCAGCTCAGAACGCCGGCCGCTGCCAGAAGCCAGGAGAGAGCCCTGGAACAGATCCTCCCTGGCACCTTCAGAGGGAACAGGGCCCTGCTGACACCTGGATTTTGGTCTTCTGGCCTCCAGGACAGAGATCGTAAATTCCGCTGCTTCAAACCACCCACTTACGGCCAAGGAAACCCGCACACTCCCCACTCCATCTCCTCCGAGACACCTCTTCCTTTCCTCTGGCTTTGCACACAGCGCTCCCTTCTGGGGCCTCTCCAGCTCAAGGACGTGCCCGGCTGCCTCCTGTGTGCAGAACAGACCTCGTTTCCCTGGCGCGTGCTCGTGCCCACCTCCTTGCCTTCCTCAAGCTGTGGACACTCCTTGGTATGCAGCCTGCCTCTCGTTTCCGACTCAGATCTTATCCACCCTCAGGCCCCAGTGCACACTTGCTGGACTCCATCATCTGTTCTTACAGGGCTACTGTTTTTGGAAGGGGTAGGGGTGCAGGGGGATCTAAAGGTGAGTGCAACAGTCCTGCCCCAGAAGAGATGGTCACAGATCATTCACAGAGCAGGTGCCTTCTCCCCAGACCTGGCTCTCCTCAGTTCTCATACTCCTGCTTTCCCCAAAGAACTTTCTGGAACATCCCATAGGGCAAGATCCACGTCTAGTGTCCCCTACACCGGCTGCTGCAGGAAATGCTTGTGGAATGACAAAACGACCAGATCAAGGGTGGAAGTAACAACAATTCCAGTTCCTATATTTAGAAAACACTGTGTGGCAGTCAGGCCCAGGTGAGTCATCCGGTCCGGACTGTGTTCGATCTGTGTCACACTCCTGGGAAAGAGGCACATCACCATCATCTCCGCTTTACACATAAGATACTTGGTCACCTGTCCAGGCCCCACTGTTTGGTGGAAGAGACCAGATTGGGAACCAGTGGTCAGCTAACAACTATGGGAGAGTCAGCAAGGAGAGGTCCCTGTCCTCAAGGGTCTCCAAGTCTTGTGAGGAGGCAGGACTAACACCTGGGCACAGTGAAGTCAATGGGTACCAGCTCCTCTCCCGGGTGTTCAGATGGTGGTGGAAGCAGAGGCAGAGAGCAGGGGCTGGGGGTGAGGGGGACGCTATGTGCTACCAAGAGGTTGCTCTGTGCTGGGGCCCATGCCAAGCATTCCTGTGAATCGTCTCCTTTAGACCTCCCAAAGTCCTGGGCAGTGGGGATCATTATCATTCGGAAGCAACCCAGTTATAACAGCAAACACAATACATGCAAAGGAACTAAACTCTCCAGTTAAAAGGCAAGGATGGAAAGCGGCATGAGGAAACTTTGGGGGATGGATCTACTCATTATCTTCACTGTGATGATAGTCTCATGGGTGTGAGTATAAGTTAACACTCATCGAACTCTACACTTCAAGCAGGTGCAGTTGGCTATGTCAGTTATCCCCCAATAAAGCTGTTTCTAAAAAAGAGGTAAACGTGATTGAACAGAATTAAACCATTAAAGCCCAGCTGGTGAACCTCTTCTCCCATGGCCTGGTCTCTCCCTGGGAAGTGGTCATTCTCCTTTACCTGCTGGATGCCCAGGCCCTGGGCTGCCCCAGCCGCACCTGGGCTCCCTGCTCTCTCCACCTCCCCATCCCACCACTCACACTGGTGTCCCCTGTGCGGCCTCTTGGTTATGGCTGAGTCGGTTGCCTCCCTGCTGCACTAGCTCAGACCCTAACCCTGTTCACCTCCCTCTAACTCATCAGCCCGAGTCTGGCCTGCGAGCTCTGGAGGCAGGAGCCTTCTCGGTCACCGAGGAGAAGCCACTTGTGAATGGGTTTTCTGGTGATCTGAGACTCGGGAACTCTCTTCAGAGCGGCTCATTCTGAAAAGTGCCTAAGAACATGTTTTCACTCTTTTAAAAAAAATCAGGTGCCACGTGACTCAACCCCGCAGAATTCGGAGCCGTGTAAATTCTAGACAGGGTGCTGTCTCATGCATCCTATATGTGGCCCTTGCAGTGTGGTTAGTCCGAAGAAAAACAAGCTGTAAGTGTAAGATATGCAATGGACTTTGAAGATTTAGTACAACAAACTTTATAAAGTATCTCAATGATTTTTTAAATCTTAATCACATGTTAAAATAATAATTTGGATACACTAAATAAATATATTAATTTTATTTTACTTGCTTCCTTTTGCTTTTTAAAAAAAATGTGGCTACTAAGAAATGTGAAATTATATGTGCAGCTCATATGATATTTTTAGTGGACAGTAACTGGCATTTCATATCCTGTGAGATTTCATCCTGTGAGCCAAACCTGGCAGAGGCCTGTTTGGGAAATAACCTGGAGCACAGACACACCCACTCATCTCCACTGCCTCCTGTCACCACAGCGGAGCCGAGCAGAGACCGATGACCTGGGCCACGACGCGGGGAATATTTACTCTCCGGCCCGTTACAGGAACAGTCGCCAGCTCTGGCGGCACATCTGACACACCGGAGGAACTTAAGCTTAAGCCCAGGCTAATCCCAGACTGTAGTGTAACTGGTATTGGGTGTGGCCTGTAGGATTTTTAAAAGCCAGTTGAGTGACTCGAACGAGCAGCCAAGGATGAGAACTACTTGAATAAGTAATTCTCAGGACAAAGGGACAGAAGAGGAAATTAAGTAACTTCTAATTATTCCACCAAGCTTATAGATCAGGCCACAGATTCTGAGCTTCCTGCTAGCCAAAGCAAAAGGGGACATTGCTTCAGTGTCTACGGGGTACAATCATTTGGGCTATCCCAGGGAATAAAATATGCTTCTTGCCATTTATGTTGGATGGCGGCATGCCTTATCGAAGGTGATTTCCCTGGACGAATGCTGGGCCCATCATATATCTCCCTCTGGCCATCCCCACTACCCCATCCAACAGAAGCTGCTGGCCCCAATCAACTGACCACCTAGCGTAGGAGGGCCATGATGAGGCCAGGCTGGGCTGTCTGGCCTGGCCCTTGGCCTCTTCCCGTGGGGGGTGTCACGCTGTCTCCGCCCCAGGCGGACACAGAAACGTGAGTGGGAAAGGTGCTGGACTTACTGATGGATGGCTTGGAGGAACTTACGCTGGTGTTTCCGAACCCGGGCGTAGTCTGGCTTCTTCACCAGCCTGGTGTGTTTGTAGATGAGCCACGTCTCCCTGAGAACGTTAGCAGCGGCATTTTTCACCTGGGGCCAGAGAAAGAGCAGTTCCCCATTTCACACTGGGGAAACCGAGGCACAGTGAGGTCAACCTGGCAAGGTCAGCTGGTAAGTTGCACTTGGCTGCCTGGTCCCATCCTTCCTGCCTCTTACTGCCTGGCCAGCGGCGGGGCTGTGACTGGGCACACAGGTGGACACCTGTGGCCTTCACCACGTCTCTGTGCACAGCTCACGGGCGTTCTCACACATGGCAGAGCCCAGCGCGGTGTGGGCATGCACAGGGCAGGGTGGTGACCTGTGGGCACATGGGTGCGCCTACAATGGGCAGAAGTAAGGCGGGGAGGGTCTGCCCGTCACGGTCAGGAGCAGAGGCGGCCGTGAGCGGGGCTGGCACCCTTACCCGCTTGGTGAGCTGTGTGTCCATCATGAAGTTGTGCACATGTTTCTCTGCCTTGGTGAGCTCCAGTTTCCGGGCCACCACGGCCACCACGAGCGCTGTACAGCCCGCCCCCTGCGTGAGGAGCGTGGGAACACATCAACATCCTGCTTTATGGGATCCCAGGCCAAAGCAGGACACGCTCCCTCCTCCAGGAAGCCTGTCCTGATCCTGCCTTTGACTTTACCCTTCCTGCCTGCAGGGTTGGCACAGAGTTCACTGACTCCCAACCCCGTGTGCTTTATCCGTCAAATGTCAGGGGAGCGTGTCCCACAGGTCAGCTCATTTTATCCCAACAACTCCATTCTTCTCTCCATTGGGCAGAGGGGGAAACTGAGGCTCCGAGATAAGAAAGGGACGAGGAACAGCAGGATCTGCAGGCAAGTTTGGGGCCGATGACCGTGGAAGTGGGAGGATTTAGAATCTGTCAGGGCTTTGGGTCTGGGTATTGGGGACAGAGACTGGGCTAACAGGGTCAGCTGACAGCGAGAAGGGAAGTGTCAGGGAGGGCCAGCCAGCTGCCCACAGTGGGGCACCTGCAGAAGGGAGAGGCAATGCACAGGTCCCAGCAGGCGGGGCAGTGGGGAAGGATGCCTCCTCATGTGGGTTCCCTGGTGGGTGCCACCACTTTCCCCAGGACGCCCTTAGTGGCAGCCCAGCCTGAAAAGGAGGTCACTGGGGGCTGCTGGGAGGGATGGGGGGCAGGAGTGAGGCGCCAAGGAGGAGGGAAGGGCAGGTAAGGGAGGGGCAGCAAAAGGCAACACAGGAGGAAGGAAGTGGGGGAACGGGAGGTTCTGCCCCTGAGAAGTGGGGTCCGGGGAGCCTAGGACACTCAGGAGGTGTCATCAGCCTCAGAAGTGACCAGGAAGTAGGTGGCAGGGGCTGGAGATGGAGCCAGAAGCTGGTTCTCTGCCTGCGCTGGAGGCTGTCCCTGGTGCTTCACCAGCCAGCTGCTTCCTTCTGCGGCTGCCGAGTACAGGGTGGAGGAGGGAGAAACCCCGGCTTGGGCCCCGAGGGCTGGGGCTGGGGGTGTGGCTGGCACTAGCTCAGTTTTTCTCAGGGGTGGAAGGAAACACTTATGGGGAGGAGTGGACAAGGGCCAGGGACACAGTCAAACTCTCCTGGTTGGCCACCATGCCCAGTTTGGTGAGGTGGGCACCAAGGTACCCGCCAAGGAAACCCCGATGAGGGCTCCTGATCAGGGCAAGGGCGTTGGGAGGACCCATGAGCCTGTTCTCAGGAAAAGCCCTGAGATTAGGGGCAAAGCAACAGGCTGGGGACCTGCACGTGGCGGACTACAGGGCAAGGAAAGAGAACAGATGACCGCTCCGCACAACAGCACAGCGGCCACGCTGAGCAAAACACGCTGGGCTCAGAGGCAGCCCCGCTGGGAGACCTTGAAGTTCAAGAACAGGGAAGCACGTGGTTGGTGAGACAGTGGCTGGGGATGAGTGTGCGAGCAGTGACCGGGAGGGGGCGCGCTGGGCACAGATGGAACAGGAGAGAGCTAACCGAGTAGCTAAAAGGGACCCAAGCATGACCGTGTGTGTGTGTGTGTGTGTGTGTGTGTGTGTGTGTGGACATGAAACTGGTTTTCTGGAAGGAGCCGCATCCCAGAGAAGAGAACACGGCTTTCCCATTTCACTGAGGGTTTTCTAGGTCTAAACTCATTTATCTGAGTGTTTTTGTTTATTTGGGAAGTTCATTTGCTGGGAGAGGGGGAGGGATTGGGTGAGCTTTACTTTCCCCCCTTCCACTGTCACAGAATATCACAAGCAAAGTGCACGATGCCGTTTCACAAGGGAGGGGCCGCTCAGCTCGGCCAGGAGGGCGGCCTGCTGGGGAGGCAGGAGGAAGCCGACCCCCAGCGGCCGCGTCCAGAAGGAGGGAGTGGGAAGTGAAGAGGAACAGAGCAACTGGGCTTCAGGTTTCAAGAGGTGGTGACAAGTGGGGACAGTGCGTTCGGAGAAGGGGGCTGTGCGGAGCCTCTGTGACGGCCCTTCCGGCCCTTCCTCCGGCAGGAGGACAGGAAATGGTGGTGGGGTGGCATCATGTGTTTGCAAGAACCAACGCCTGTCTGTGCGGTACAGCTTGTGACGGTGACCGCCGTGTCGGGGGCGGGGGGGATGTCCAAGGGTCCAGCCTTACCATGATGCCGGTGAGCAGGCACACGCCTTTCCCGCAGTAGGTGTGTGGCACCATGTCTCCGTAGCCAATGGAGAGGAAGGTGATGGAGATGAGCCACATGGCCCCCAGGAAATTGCTGGTCACTTCCTGTTTATCATGGTACCTGGGGAGAGTAGGGAGGGCTGGTCAGCCCGCACTGGTCCCTCCTCCGTCATCACACCCCCTGGGCAGTGCCTTGAATCAGGGAGCCAGTCACTCTGAGGGCTCCCATGATAAAGGCGTGGTTGCGGGGGGGGTGCTTCTGGGACAGAGGGCATCCAAATCCTCCTCCCGGGCTCCCTTTCACCGACCCCAAAGCTGCTGCTCCAGCCCTGGTCACGGAGCAGAGAGGGTCCAGGCGAGGGTACGTCCACATGTGTCCACGCATGTCCACCAGATACCTTTCCCACAGACAGACATACAGACAGGCGTGGACACGGGTGGCCATGGGCACCAGAAGCGGCAGGACGTGGAGGTGAGGATTCACATCAGACACCAGGAAGAAGTTCCCTAGCCAGCCAGGCCCTGAGGGAGGGGTCTGTCGGGGAGATGGGGGTTGAAGAATCATGCTCCAGGACTTGGGTGAAGAGGGATATGTGGAGGGCAGCACCAGCCACCCCAACCCCAGGCCTGGGTTGACCTGGTGGTAAGGAGAGAGGGGACAGCATACTTAGCCCTGGGGAGAGGCCTGGGGCTAAACTTTTGATGTGTGTGGGAGCGGGGCACAGCCCCCAGGGCCTTGCAAAGCACACTGCTTTGTCCCCAGCATAGCCTGGCCTGGGACCCTGGCCACACAGACCGTGGACAGGTTCCACCCGTGTTGGCCCAGGCTGGGGGCCGAGGGGCTGGTTCTCTGGGTCAGGGGGCAGCTCAAGGTTCTGCTCTAGGCCAGCCCCCAGCCTGCAAGGCCCCTTCAGCTTGGGGAGCCCTTTCCAACTAACCCCTCCTTAGGGCCTCAGGCCACCTACAACCCCCACCAGCGGGCAAAGACCTCCACAGAAAGGGTTCAAGGTGGGGACCAACCATGGTGGCACAGAGGAGGTGGGCCCCTCACTGCGGTGGGCAGGGGGCTGGGGCCCGGGGTTCTAGATGGGGAGGAGATGGAAGGGAAGCCCCAGTGGGAGCGGGAGGGATGGAGCCATCACAGCAGGTCTGGTGTTGGGGAGTCTCCGCCCCCCTGGGGGGCTCCCATGCTGCTTGCTGGGTGAAGGGGACAGAAACTGACCCCCCTCTTTCACTGAGGTACCTGAACCCCAAGCTGTCTCAGCTTCCAACTCTGGGGACACCAGCACCCCCAACTTAGGAGGCAGGAGGGGGGCTCTCCAGCCATGGTGGGTGCTGCAGAACCCCCAGGACCAGGGAGGGGGGCATGCGGGAGGTGAGGTAGGGGTGGGACAGAGCTGCGGGGCAGAGGGAGGCAGGCAAGGGGGTTTCAAGCAGCAATATGGGCTCAGAATTTAGGATTGGCTGCCCCCCACCCTGCCCCATTCCCCACCCCCACCTGGGCACCCCTGAAATGATCCAGCCTGGACCTCAGGGATGCCTGAGGATGGATGCCCCTCTCTCATTCCCCAGACCTTGATCCTGAGCCTGCCCTGAAGGGTGGGGAACGGGCTGTGGGAACTGACATTGGGGCCTATCAGGGGTCCAAGGAGGCCCCGTGTGACCCCCCCAAATGGTAAGCCTTTATGACAAGGAGGGGGGCTTGAAGACTGAGGACTGAGGTCCTGGGGGGCAAGTCCAGCCCAGGGACCCCTCCCCGAGGAAGCCCAATCATAGCACCACCTAACAGACCCTTCCAGAGCCTTCCGCAACCAGGCACGAGGCAGGAGAGACCCCTCCTGGACAAGGTGTCCCTCCGCCCTGAGAGGCCCAGCAGAGCCCCTCCCTCCCTGGATCCCCGGCGGTTGGGAGACAACCAGAAACAGGCCCTTAGAAATGTCCCTTTGCCCCTGAGAGCCTCAGTTTCCCCATCTGTAACTTGGGTTGATGGCCTGCCATCCTCCAGGACGGTTGAGAACAAAACCCAAGTAGGGGTCCCAAAGGCTGGGCCAGTTTTCCTTCACCCCAGACTCCAGATCCCTGGGTCAGCTGCCCAAACAAGATGCTAGAGCTCAGCCCTTCTTCCCCCCATCACCTTGGACAAAGCCCCCAAGGACCCCAAGTGGACAGAAGCTGAGAATGGCCTGCCTCCCACTGTCCACTGCCCTGAGCCTGACTCAATCCTACCTGCCCCTCTGCCTCACACCCCCCCTCCCCCGCCCTCCAGGGATGGACTCTCCCCACCCCCGCGGGCTCCCGCCAGCCTGGCCACCCTGCCTCCCCTCCTCATTCCCTCCCCTCTCGGCAGCTAATCTTAAATTCCTCGCGGGCAGCATGGTGGCAGCAGCTCTGCACACACAGCTTGGCCAAGGCTGGGACTCACATGTTTCCCCTACAGTCCAGCGGGGCAGGCAGAGGGGAGAAGGAGAGCAAGTTACACTGGGGTGGAGACAGGCAGATGGCGGGCATCTCTGTGCCTGCTGCCTCTGCTGCCTGGGCCAGAGGTCAGAGGCCGGCTGCCCGCAGAGTAGAGGGGCTGGGAGAAAGAGGAGCATGAGTCCCGCTGGAGGAAAGTGGGAGGAAGGGCACCGGGGTCGCAGAGGGGTGTGCGTCAGGGGTGGTTGGGGACACAATGCTGGAGTCCCAGGGTTATGGACAGTCACTGAGGCCAGGAACTGGACGGGGCAGGGAGGGGAGATCAAGGGGATGAAAGAGCTGGCGGGAGGAGCCTTGGGTCACGGAAGTCATGGAGGACCTGGGGTCATCAGGGTCCGGGTCAGGGTCAGGAGTGGTTGCTAGGGAAGCCCTGGGCACCTGAGATCATGGGTGGGCCTGGGGCTCACTGGGATCAGGGGGACAGAAGCGACGGCTGAGGGAGGTCTGAGCCACTGAAGTCATGGGTGGGCCTGGAGCTCACGGGTTCGGGGTTGGGGGTCAGGACACACCTCTCGCAGACGCGCACGGTCCAGGCCGCGATGATCCAGGAGGAGATGCTGAAGACGAGCAGCACGGTGCCCGGGCAGATGGTCATGAGTGTCTTCATGACGAAGCGCGTGTTGAAGGTGATCTTGTTGAGCGCCCCGATGCTGCGGGACGAGGCGTCCGTGAAGATCTTGCTGTGCAGCAGCATGACACGGCCCAGCAGGTAGAGGCGCAGGAACATGGGCACCGACAGCAGCACGTCCA